AACTACATTTCCATTTGGTTTTAATATGGGATCTGTAATGTGGATAAGCTATACAGCCGATAATGATATCTGATCACAGCCTTCATATTTACAACTGCTTCAAATGAACATTCTCATTATCTCAGTTCTGTGTGCAGGTGGAGGAAGCTCATAACAAATATGGCACGTCCCAAATCAAGGTGAGAAACCTTGGGTAATCTGGAGGGACCGCTATCACATGCAAGCCAAGATCACATGACAGAAATTTAAAGCATCCACGGGCTACTATTCATTAGCCTTGCTAACAAATTCAACTCAATTCATTATAACACAGCTGATCGTGCCCGTTCCAGACCATGTTTGTGATTCTACCAGGACTGTGGTGCGTCCCAGAAGCATCTCTCCGCTCTGCTCCATATCTATTTTTGGGGAAAGCTGCGAGCTGCAGCACAGAACAAATCGCATTGGTAGGAAGTAAGACAGAGAAACAGCATTGAGAATCTGGCTTATTTCCAAAAAATAATATACCCTGTGTAGACTCTGTACCGAATTTTATGATACATCAAAAAAGTAAACAAAATTAAAGCTGCAAGCAGCGTTGGGCGGGACCTCGCACTCCACGCAACTCGGGGCGTGCTGCGGCCGCGTCGCGTTCCATCGTCACACGCCACCTACCAACAACATGAAATTTCACGTAAATCAGCTCAAAATCGCCACGCAGCGCTTACTTCCTGTTGCTGGTAGGTGGCGCTATCACTATGTCTTAATATTGTCATGTAGACAAGTTCAGGGCGGGACTGTTGTAACACACGTGAAGTTTCATTGAGATTGGACCACGTACGCTGAAGTTATGAGGACGTGTTCAGGGCGAGATGTTACAGAAAATATTAAGTTTATTGGAAATTGGACATTGGACACTGAAGTTATGAGTGCTATTTTATGGCGAATCCGCTGAATTCGACAAATTGTCACTGGCACGGTCATTTCACGTAACTCAGCTCAAAATCGCCACGCAGCGTTTACTTCCTATTGCCAGTAAGTGGCGCTATAACTATGTCTGAATATTGTCATGTACACGTGTTCAGGGCAGGACTGTTATCAAGCATTTGAAGTGTGGAGCCGATTGGACAATGTACACTCAAGTTATAGCAAATTTGTGTTTTGTGGCGGTCCATCAAAATTTCCGCCACCCCACAGACACGCCCCCTCACCACAGTCAACACATATAATCAACAATGTGTTTTGCATTTTATAAGTAAATTTCAGCTGGATCTGATCATCCTGGAAGGAGTACAACATGAAAGTATAAAACGTGATACTTCCTGTTGCCAGTATGTGGCGCTATCACTATGTCTGAATATTGTCATGTAGACGTGTTCAGGGTGGGACTGTTATCAAACACGTGAAGTTTCATTGAGATTGGATCACGTACGCTGAAGTTATGAGGACGTGTTCAGGGTGGGACTGTACTGAAGATATGAGTACTATCTGTTTGATGGTCAATCGGTGGAATTCGACACGTCGTCACGGGCACACGGTTAAACATACAGTCACAAATAGCACAACTTTTGATAACCAATGTGTGTAGATTGAAGTGATCGAATTTGAAGTCAATCTGATAAAATCTGTAGGAGGAGTTAGTTAAAACAGAAGCCCTTAAATGCCGGAAATAGCATCACAGTTTGACATTCGATTCAACCTGGCCAACTTTGAGGGCACACCACGGACACGCCCTTTAATGTACAGTCACAAATAGCACAACTTTTAATGAGCACCATTTTCTGACTGTACTCACCGATTTTGAAGCAGATCCGATAAATTCCCTAGGAGGAGTTCGTTCAAATACAACGCGAAAAAAATCACCAAAAAATGCGCACGGAATTCACTATGGCCAACTTTGAGGGCACGCCACAGACACACCCTTCAACGTACATGCACAATTAGCACAACTTTTAATCAGAACCATTTTTTGACTGTACTCACAAATTTTGAAGCAGATCCGACGAATTCCCTAGGAGGAGTTCGTTCAAATACAACGCGAAAAGTTCGCCGAAAGTGAAACTTTAAATCAAAATGGCTGACTTCCTGTGGGGTTTCGGGTATGGGTCCAAGAGGCTTTTTTGTACGTCCCGGCATGTTACACGTGCCTACCGAGTTTCGTACATGTTGGTGAAACGTGGCGCCGGGGCTGCTGTTTTTTTATCCTGTAGGGGGCGCTACACACACACGACAAACACGATTTTTGGTATGTGAGCTTCAGGCACTACTCTACATGTGCCCTGTGAATTTCATTATTTTTTCATTATTACGGTCTCCGCACAGTGATTTATCATGCCAAAAAAGTGCCACCTAGTGGCGTATTTGTTTTGTCCTTTTTAAGTGAGCCTCAGGGAGCCATGGGGAAGCATCGTACAAAGTTTCATCTTAATCACACATACCGTTGTAGAGATATAAACTTCTTCATTTTAAAGAGCGCCACCTAGTGGAAATTGCCTGAAATTGTGCACAATGCTTAAGGAAGACATGTGGAACCTAAGTTTGGTGTTAATCGGACAAATCAATGTGGAGAAATGGTCCCCTTCCTTTTTTGACGAAAAATCCACAGGAAGTGCTAATTTTATAGCGTGCTTATTGTTTGAAATTTCAAAAATGTTAAAATTACTTTTTTTGCCAGGGCGGTCCGCAGGTGCTAGGTGAAAAATTTTGTGCGAATCGGACAAAGCGTGTAGGAGGAACACGAAAAAGTATTTTAAAGACATTTTACGCTCTAACGAAAAAAAGTTATAGGCGGAAGTGCGCGGGGCCTATATGGGGAGATTCAGCTCTATTTACCGAACGCGTGGATACCAGTTTTTTGAATGTGCGACAAACTATGCAGAAGTTATTAGCCTAAACGCATTTTTTATGATAGTAGCACCACCTACTGGTCAACCTGAAAGCGACGCATAGAATATAAAATTTTTCACCAGGCCTGACCACTTTGCCAAATAAAATTGACTTTTCGTACATGTTCAGGGGGGCAAAAACGCAATCAAAAGTGCTAAAAATAATAATAAGTAAGAAGAAACATAGCAAAAACAATAGGGACCTCCAGCGGTCGCTTGCGAGGTCCCTAAAAATAACAACAATAAACATAATTAAAGCTGCAAGCAGCGTTGGACGGGATCTCGCACCAGGCGCGCGTCGGGGCGTGCTGCGACCGCGTCACGTGCTGCTGGGGTGCGCTGTGGCCACGTCACGTGCCGTCGTAACAAGCGCGGACCACAACATGAAAATGTCACGTAAATCGGCTCAAAATCGCCCTGCAGCACTTACTTCCTGTTGCCACTAGGTGGCGCTATCACTATGCGTTCAGGGCGGGACTCTTATCAGACAAGTGAAGTTTGGAGCCGATTGGACAATGTACACTCAAGTTATAGCAAATTCGTGTTTTGTGGCGGTACATCAAAATTTCCCGCCACGCCACAGTTATCACCCCTCACCGCAGTCATCACATCATCAACAATGTGTTTTGCATTTTATAAGTAAATTTCAGCTGGATCTGATCATCCTGCTAGGAGTAGAACATGAAAGTATAAAACGTGATACTTCCTGTTGCCACAAGGTGGCGCTCTGACTATTACTGAATGTTATCACATAGGCATGTTCAGGGCGGGACTCTTATCAAACATGGGAAGTTTCGTTGCAGTCGGATCATGTACGCAGAAGTTATGACGAATCCCTCTTTTTATGGCGAAGGATCGAAATTGCACGCCACGGGACGCCACGCCACATCCACGAAGTTTAACGGAATAACGTAAATAGCACAACTTTTAATAGTGAATGTGTTTAGATGGCTGTGTCCAAATCTGAAGTCGGTCCGATAAATGCCCTAGGAGGAGTTCGTTCAAATACAACGTGTGCAAATCGCCCAAAATGGCCACAAAATCCAAAATGGCCGACTTCCTGTTGGGTTTGAGGTATGGGTCCTTGAGACTTTTCTGCTTCTTTTATCATGATACACATGCGTACCAATTTTCGTACCTGTCGGCCTTACGTGTCTTGGGGGCTGATTCGGGGGGGTGTGGCTTAGCCGTTTGGCGGGGACAATGTCATATCGGTATTTCCGCTATGTTTGAATTTTGTGCAAATTTCCATGACTTTTTGAGAATGCTGCGGGGGTCAAATATGCAGTGAAAGAGGCACAAAATAATAATTCCTACAGGAACAATAGGGTCTTGCACTGGTCAGTGCTCGATCCCTAATTAATAGAGAAAGCATTTAACTACGCAGCCTACTTTGTCATGTTAGAAGCACTAATATACAAGAAAAAAGCCAAAATACAAAAGTCAACAACGACAGGCAGGCAAGACACGCTGAAGACTTTCCGCTTCTTAAACGCTCTTGGTGGGATTTGAAGACGCAAGAATGATGGAGCCAAACCACGTTGCAGACATGACGTCGTAAGGGTGGGACTGTGGCATTAAAAATGATTAAATGGCCCTGTACTTGTATAGCGCCTTTCTAGTCTTCTGACCACTTAAAGGGCTTTTACACTACGTGCCACATTCACCCTTTCACACACATTCACTCAGTGATGGCAAAGCCCATCAAACAGAAACTAACTCATTCATACACATTCACACACCGATGCATAGTATCGGGAGCAATTTGGGGTTCAGTATCTTGCTCAAGGATACTTAAGGGAGAAACCGGGGAACGAACCAACAATCTTTCCGATTAGTTGATGACCCATTCTGCCTTTGAGCCACAACCACTTCAGCACTTTATCACATTGAATTTTAAGTGGCAACTAGAAAAATGTTTGGAGCTCAAGTGTTGTGTTTCTGCTGTCCTCCATTCATTCATTATAGTCCTTGTGTCAGGACTCTTAATAGTAAATGAGACCTCAATAAGACATACTTATAACACTTCTCAAAAGTTGGTTGAACTTTTCAGTGAACTAGCAAATATAAATCAGCACATGGCACAGGATGAAGCATGTCACAAAAGCAGGACAGAGTGATGAGATGGTATCATACCTGAGGAGAGAGCAGGGGTGGGGGCAGCAGGTCAGAGATATGGATGGAGACCGGAGGACCAGTCCAGTTACTCTGGGCAAACAGGTGGAGGCAAGAGACAGCCAGGGTCATCACTGCCAGCTCCCTGCAGCAGGAGAGACAAGACACACACTGGACTTAGTGGACAGACAGACTGGAGAGAAGAGATGCCAAGTAAAGAATTCCGAAAACATTCTATGGTAGTGACAGATGTTCACATACATTTCTAGAAAGGCACAGTGACAGCCACCTGACTCTGAGGGCAGTTAGAGGAACAGTGACACGCTTTGCTGCCTTTCTATTAGGCTGAGAAAGTGATGGAAGATGATAGAAGGGAGGAAGAGGATACAATCATGATGAGGAGAGAGGTGGGGCAATATGTGCTGCATTGTACAATCACTCACAGACACTTCTCTCCTGAGAGCAAGAAGGGAGATGTTAAGCTGTCCTTATTAAAAATGAATAATTCATGACAAAAGGCGGGTACAGGAGAATGAACAAACACTCTTGAGAACAGCTTTGTGCTTCTCTTCACTTCTACCAACAAACCCACCGCAACAGCTCAATTGGGGATTTTAATTAGTGGGCTCACTTCAGCAGCTCGAAATCATACACTGTTATTTACCTATTTGTTATTAATTGGATATTACTGAAATTGCAATTAGTTATCCCATTTACAGTCAAGTGATTTTTAGATTCACATTTTTTTTTTTATGTTTGCAGAAACGAAAAAGATGATACTTTACCCCCCCAAGCCTCTGAGTGTGTAAAGGACTGTGTAACATGCCCACTATCTCATATCCTGATAATGACATGTATATCATGATCAGATCACAATATTGCACATTTTCTGTAAATTCAATAAATAAATAGTTGATATAAAATGACCAGATCGTCCTATTTCATATTACATTTTGAATTATATACACTCCACAAATAAAAGCTACTTATATTATATTTTATTATTTTTCTCCTTTTATTCAGAACCTTTATGTAAATATCAAGTAAACAATAAAATAAATAAAAATGCTTATTTGTATAGGGACAAGAATAATGCTATATACTTCCCTATACAAATAAACTTAATAAAAATACTTAATTGAGATTCAATGTCACAAACTACAATATTTATAGCCTAAGCTAATTTGCCCTTCCCTAGATACCCCTTTAAAACTCAAATCTACAAAAGACACAACAAAACAAACAAAAAGTGTGTATATTAAAAACACAGAACTCAGCCAGAAAAAAAAAAAAAAACAGATCACAAAGTAATACATTAAAGCAGCATAAAACAGGACACTCAAGATCATTCAGGACTATATGACTGATCCCTCTTCAGGAACTGTTTCAGTTTAAGTTTAAAATGATCCCAGTCAGGCTTCAGTTTGAGTTCTGTAGGTAAGGAATTCCACATTTTGATCCCCCGAACAGAAAAATCTGTGTGAGGATTTACATATGGGTTCCTTACAATTCCCATTGGATGCTTCATGCCTTACTGAGCCTGGAGTGCAACCTCCAGGTCACTGAGGAACCTGGGCAGCCTGGTCATGTAGGCATTTGCAGAGAGTTTAAGATTAGCAATTTTTGGGCGCCCGGTTAGCTCAGTGTGTAGAGCTGGCGACCCATGTACTGAGGCTGAGTCAATGCTGCAGCGGCCCAGGGTTCGATTCCGACCTGCGGCCCTTTGCTGCGTGTCATCCCCTCTCTCTGCCTCCTGTCTGTCTTCAGCTGTCTCTATCATAAAGGCAATAAAAGCCCCAAAAAATACTTAGAAAAAAAAAAAAGATTAGCAATTTTGAACATATTTAATTACCTAAGAACAATGATGTGATATAATCGGCTTCCAGTCAAAAATTTTGATTGCTTGACTGTACACTGACAGGTCACATTATGACCAGGGTGCACAGATAGTCATATGTTCTAGAGCGCGCAGAGAGTGGCAGCTTGACGCAACAGCTCCCGCTCCGCCTTAAATCTTACTACTTCTTTATTCCTTCTTAAACAGCACTGTGTTTATTGTTGTAAATAGACCGTCAGTGTTGGTAGTTAATCTTTTACTTTTTTTGCCGTAGTTGAACAACAAAAAAACAAAACGCTGGAGGTTATTCACGTGTCGCATGCCCAAGGGAGATCCCGGTGGAGTTAAGGAGACGAAGAAGAGGAACCAGAGCAGGCAAGTTGGTGAGGACCAAGAAGACAGAGACGCGGTGGCGATACAAGCCATGTCTTCCCTCGGTTGTCATGGAAAAGTACGTTCGCTGAACAACAAAATGGACGAGCTCTCGGCCCTGGTCAACGGACAGCGAGAGTATCGGGAGTGCAGCATATTATGTCTGACGGAGACATGGCTGAATGACATTACACCAGACTGTTCAGTGGACAACAAGCCCTGGATCAACAGAGACATCAAAGCCCTGTTGAACAGAAAGAAGATGGCTTTCATGGCAGGACATGAGGATGCAAAGAAAGACATTCAGAGGGAGCTGAGGAGGGAGTTGAGGGGGGCCAAAGACTGTTACAAGAACAAGATAGAGGGGAAGCTGCAACAGACCAGCACAAGAGAGGTGTGGGGGGGATGAGGAGCATTACTGGCATGAAAAGGTCCGTAGGTTCAGTAGAAGAGACAAAGGGACGTGCCAACGAGCTAAACCTGTTCTAAAATAGGTTTGACTTACAAACCCCCTCCACCTCCTCAGGTACCCCCATTCACAACCTGGCTACACCACCCTCCTCCTCCACAGTCCGTATTCCCCATGATGACAGTAACACCACCCCCCTCATCTGCCCTAAACCCTCCCTCCCCTTTCCCACCCCCTCTATCCTCTCCATTTTTCCACCCCACAAACCTCCACCTCCTCCCCCCACCTACCTCTCACCACTACAATTTCTCCTAAGGGGGATAAATAAAGGAATAACTTATCTTATCTTAATGTTACGGCTGATTAGTGTATATCATCATGAGCGTCTTTACACAGTAACTCCATTGTGAAAAGATCATAGAGCAGGACTCCAGACTAACTTTTTGCATTGGTTGCACTGGTGCGCTTAACTTTTTTTTTTTTAGGTGCAGCAGCACAAAATTTAGTAGCACCCAAATTTTTCATTGTGTCGCCTTTAACACCATAAGGTCACCTTTTTTATCGTTCTCCATAACTTTCATATAATGTGAATGATTTTTAAACAAGATTAAGGTGTAGAGAAACGCTTGTCTTTATTTGAAGCACAATTATATATAAAAAGAAAAATCAAGTGTTTAAAGTGCTTCACTGAACTGAAATTGAACATGTCAAACTAAAACACGAAGCAAAATAAAACATTTCCAAATAAAAGAGAAATAAAAGACCTGATTACTACTACCTGCCGCTGAAATGCAGCTGGGAGAGGGGCCACTTTCTCTACACACTTGTCACAGCATATTGTGTGTTTTTTAGACATGTTATGTTTTTTTAAAGTTTCGATATGAAACGTTGTTGACCTGCTCACGAATGCACTATTTCCGGCCATATTCTGACCACACTCCTGACTGTACCTCAGCCAGGGAAATTGTTTCAGCCAGTCCTGTCTGAAGGAATATATTTTGGCCTTTTTAATTTGGGTCTCTATCCCAGACTCGTTGTCTCCTCCTCCTCTCACCAGGGACCGAGGGCTCTGTGTCTTGACGGGATGGACTCTCAGTAGTGGGGATGGATGGGATTATAGTAGTAGGGCTGGTTGTAGTCTTGGTTTCCTTAATGAAAAAACTTTCAATATTTCTGCCTCTCTTCATTTTCCCTCGTTTTGTCGTGTTTATTTTATTTTTCCGTTTCAGTAAGTCAGCTATTCTGGCGCTCAGGTCGTGCGCAATTTTTAAACACACACAACTTAACGCGGTGAACAGGACCACAGCCAATCAGAGGCAAAGAGGTCTGTCTCTTATTGGTTTAGAACACGATATGATCCTACCATGAGTGTGTGAGATTGGTCACAGGAGGACACAGAGAGATGATGCACTTGCAAAATAAATTTATGTTTTCACCCGGGCAGCGTCAGGTGCATCAGAGCGACCTAGAAAAATTATTAGTCGCACTCTTAAAAATTTTGGTCGCATGTGCCCCCTAACCCAGGGATGGCAAGAGTGGAAAGGTTACATCACAGTACAACAATACATTACAGCCAGTTAAAACACTATCATCTAGTTGACTTGACACCTGGTGTCCTGCTGTATTACCTGTTGGTCTGGCCATCGTTGGTTCCATCAGTCAGGTACTGCAGCACTTGTCTCTCCAGGTAGGTCTCGATGTCCTCCCCCTCGCTGCAGCGGTCATCTCCGTTTAGCAGATCTAAAACCTGGGGGCTCAGCAGAACCGCCTCAAAGTCCCCCTCCATCAGGGACTCCAGCAGAGAGCCCGCCTCTGGAAGGTTAGAGTGAGTTCACATTAAGTACAATTGGTAGTGTTAATTCACTCCACAGGGCTTACTCATTTGGTTAAATTCAAGTGACCACATGAAAACAATGTCATCAAACACAAGTGGCAACATATAACTGATTATAAGATGCTTGGACATTGATTAAAAGGAATTTAAACTGACACGGACTGAATACATTTAAACCCTATTAATAAGATGACAGCAGATCTCAATATATTGGTCCTAATCTTTGTATATTGTTTTTGATACTAAATGTTCTGAAGCACTAACTTAAAAAAAAGCTCACAAACCTGTCTTGCAGTCATTGCTCTTATTTCAACATGTCTACAATAAAGGGCATTGACAAGAGACAGGCTTCAAGTAAAGTGTTTGAATGCACCATATACCAGAATTTGTTCTGCATAAGAACATATGGAGCAATGGTGAAATTAGAATTTGGCAACTATAGGGTGGAGCTTTGGCTTAGGAGGTGGAGCGGGTCATTCAATAATCAGAAGGTGTGTGGTTCGATCCCTGGCTCCCACTGCATTTCAAAGTGTCTTGAGCAAGACACTCAACCCCAAATTGCTCCTGAACCTGAGCCATCGGTGCGTGAATGTGTGTGAATGAACTAGTTTCTTCATTTATTCTAGAACATTTACAGAGACCCAACAGTTATCACCATGAGCAAGCACTTGGAGACGGGGGCAAGGAAAAACTGCCTTTTAAGAGGCAGAAACCTAGGACAGACCCTTCGGCTCTAGGTGGGTGGTCGTCTGCCTCGACCAGTTGGGGTGGGTGGGTGGGAGAGAAGAGAGAGAGAGAGAGAGAGAGAGAGAGAGAGAGAGAGAGAGAGAGAGAGAGAGAGAGAGAGAGAGAGAGAGAGAGAGAGAGAGAGAGAGAGAGAGAGAGAGAGAGAGAGAGAGAGAGAGAGAGAGAGAACAGTAGCAACAACTACACGAATAGTGACTGATGATGAACATGAAGAAGACAACGACAACGACAACAACAGCAACGAAGGGGGACATCATCATGTTTGCCTTATGGCGGGGTCACTCATGAGATATGATGAGATTACATTCAATGTCAATGCAAAGATGCGAACAGATGCAAATTTGCACCAGGCAATGCAAATGAAGCCAACACACAAACTTTGCCCCAATCGAGTATTTGCGCAGGTTAAAAATGTTTAACACATATTGCGGGGCTTTTGCAGTGTTGTGTGGGGAGGACCAGAGAGACAGAGTTGCTGCGGGCCACACCCGGGAGCAGCAGGGAACAGACAAGGAAAAGATTGTTTGTTGGAAAGTAAGTGAGGAATTTTCCTTTTTTTTATTCTAGCTGTCTTATTTACTTAACTAGGAACTAACTTAGCATAGCCCTGATCAATCAAAACTTTGTTCAGAAAACAAGCATTTTAAAACTTGTTTGCCTGACATCTGGCTAACAGAGCTGACACAGATCTATGGGCTGATTTTTGTGTCAGTAGAAACTGAATCTGAATTGCTCTACTTGAATAATTGCAATGAAAAACGGAATTGAATTTGTATTGTTAAACTTGAATAACTGTATTGAAAAACTGAATCTGAATTGCATAATTTGAATTTATTAGTTTGAAACTGAATTTGAGCCTCACTAAAAATTCAACTTTTTATGTACTTTCAAATTCAGTTCTCTAAATTCAAATTCAGTTCTCTAAATTCAAATGTCGCAATCTCAACTCAATTTCAAACCACTAGATTACGCTTTTAAGGTCACAGACGGGTCAAGGTGTTCAGTAAGAGCAATCGAGTGCAGATGCACAGAGCTCCTTTTTGGCTAAGCAGCACGTTTGTTTTGAACATTTCCTGGACCTGTAGACATTGGCTAGAGAAAAACATGCTTAAAGGAGACATATTATTCCCCTTTTCAAGTTCATAATTGTATTTATTTATTATTATTTTGGTTTCGTGTGTGAACCACTTGTGTTGGACTGTTTTCACAACCTCGGTCAGTACAACACTGGACCGGCTGAAAGACTGTTCCTGAAAGAGGGATTGTACCAACTGTCTGTGGAGAGACGGCAGAGGAAGTAACTGGAAGTATTTTTAAGAGTTTATGCTGTTTTTCATTGTTCGTGTACTGCTAGCACATGCTAACCGTTGTTAGCTACAGGAAAATAAATAAATACAATTATGAACTTGAAAAGGGGAATAATATGTCTCCTTTAAGCATGTTTTTCTCTAGCCAATGTCTACAGGTCCAGGAAATGTTCAAAACAAACGTGCTGCTTAGCCAAAAAGGAGCTCTGTGCATCTGCACTCGATTGCTCTTACTGAACACTTTGACCCGTCTGTGACCTTAAAAGTGTAATCTAGTGGTTTGAAATTGAGTTGAGATTGACATTTGAATTTAGAGAGCTGAATTTGAATTTAGAGAACTGAATTTGAATTTAGAGAACTGAATTTGAAAGTACATAAAAAGTTGAATTTTTAGTGAGGCTCAAATTCAGTTTCAAACTAATAAATTCAAATTATGCAATTCAAATTCAGTTTTTCAATGCAATTATTCAAGTTGAGCAATTCAGATTCAGTTTCTACTGACACAAAAATCAGCCCATACAGATCCTTTTACTGTAATTAAATCACAGCAAAATCTGTTGATTTTGAGCTCATACCACCATAGTTAGCCAGATGCGATAAAGGAAAAGACATACTCACTTTACTTGTTTGAGTATTCAGTAATGCAATGTGAAAATTTGCTTGTGAACACACCATTAGGCAGTCCCTCCAGGAAGTGATATGTTACGATCGCAACAATTAACACATATTCAATTAATCTCGGTGAATTCTGCACAACCTTGCAATTTTGTCCATTTACCACAACCTTTCCGCAACTTTGACCAATCATTGTAGTTTTGCATGCAAGACACTGAGCCATACGGCACCAAACTCACTTCCTTGTCCCTGTCCAAACAGTGTGATATTATTCTCACTGGAGTTGCCTTCAAGTGTTTTTGAATTATACAAAAAAATAACTATTTTTTCCTTTTTTTTTTTTTTATTCTTTCTCTAGCAATTTCACTGCTACAAAATATCAAAAAACCCTGTAACACACATTGTAATCTTTTAGAGAAGTTGCTGTGAAATCAGGCATTTTAGGCTGCACCAATCCCCAATAAAGCCTGCAAAATCCTGGAGGGTCTGATTAAGATACAATCACATTCTGGACTTTGCGCAGTGTGAACCCCAACAAACTGAATTCAAAATGCAACTTAGTTAAAACCAAAGAAAACATCCAAAATTATATCACACCTTCAGTCTTGTTTGAACACATCTCTCCAGATTTAATATCAAATCCTCAATTATAAAATAAAGCTCTATTGATTTTAATGGGGAAAAGTTTGTGTCAAAACAAGAATCAAGTCCAAGTGGACAGTGATGTCTGTCATTAATGGAGAGCTTCGACAAAACTGCTGTGTTAATGTATTTTGTCTAATTTCCCCCCCAGCCTCCCTACACACACTGGCAAGCGAGGTGGAGGACAATAAAGGCTCCGCCCCAAAGCTGTCGTCAACTTGATAATCCATCTCCCCTCATTTGTCGTATATTGTTTTGCAGTGATTTTTAATCTTAATCCATATTCCATTTTCATTTAAGTCAATGAACATATTGAACCATTCCCCAGAGGTAAGTTGTACAGTGTGTGAGCATTTAGCTAATGCTCCCACAACAGAACACCATTGTTGTTGAAGAGGGCCAGCTGAAGAGGCTGATGGCGAGAAGGTGAAACATGTTGATGTATGAAAGGACAGAGGAAGGCTGCTGGGCCACTGCTTCCGTACTATAAATAATTGTACTGCTTGTGTGCTCAGGCATCTCACTGCCTTTCATTAGCTTTTTATTGGAGGAGGCAGACTGGCTTGGCTCATTAGCATTGATTGCTTTGTGTTCACCCGGTGGAGAGAAAGAAAGAGGACGGGAGGAGATGCTGTTCTGAGCTGCATAACAAAAGCCTGTCTAACTTGAGGAATTGTCTTCATGACTTCTTCTACAAACACACAAAATCAGGTGAGTACTGACAGAAGATGTGTCATGCCAGACAACAATGTCAGCTTTAACTCACCTCCATGATTGCCACGCAACATGCCTTGAATGCTAAAAATAATGAGCAATCTCTTGTGCCGTTTAAGGAATTCAAATAATTTCTAAGTGACTGGTGCAGCTTCGTAAACATTCAATATTCTAAACACCAACACCCCAACATCTGCATTGCTATCTTTCCCTTTAGAGTGACCATTGCGTTTTTAATGAAGGAAGTAAGGAAGGAAACATTTTGCCCAACTATTTTGGAAAGGTACAAAAGCGTTTCTCACTCACTGCCTTAATGGGTAACCTCACTGGAAATCAACCTTACTTTACAATGCTGTGCATCCACAACTCCTGACTCCATCACTGTGTCAAAGATGGGGTCAAAAGCTCACATTCTCACATGAAGCCAGATTTCCGGTCCACTTAGGCACATAGCCAAGCCAGTCACGTGATCCTTTAACTGTACCCTTGGCTTTAATAAGCAATTGTGGTGTGACTGGTGTTGTAAAGGAGGTTTGGAGATTTTCATCTCACTGCCGAACAAATGAAACCCAGGGGCTACCATAATACCACAGTGAGAAGGGACTGAGAGGACAAGGAAGGGCTTCGGCTTTATGAGGGGGGAAATGAAAGCCTGAGGTATGGCCACATGTTTAATGACCTTTCAGCTACACTTCAGGTCTGCCGATGAAACGGCAGCAATTATGGAAAACAAGACAGAGGCCTTCAAATTAGTTCATAAAGGTTCAGGCAATTAGCTGCAGTTAATAAGGCAATGGTGAATAGAATTTGAAAAAGCGTATAGGGCTGAGCAGCAATATAAAAGCAAGATGAATGATAGGGAGTATCTCAGACAGGCACTGTATGACAATACCGGTATACCGGTGTATACCCCTGCACACAGTCACAGGGGGGCCTTAATTAGTTGCATTTCCTTAGTCTGGGTTTCACCCAGAGTTGTATTGTCCTGTGACCATCTGCATAATGTTTTAGAAGATTTTCCACTCTGACAAAAATAAAATTCTGGGGATAAAAAAACAAAAGACGAATGCAGACATCTCCATTTTGCCACCAGGTGGACACTGTAATTGGTTTAGGCCAGTAGTAGCAGCTCTTTATCCCCTCTCCAGTCCTGTGCCTTTGACAAAAAATTATATGGACATTTTTCTTATCATTGTTGTAGTGCAGCCACAACTAAAATGTGTGTCAGATGACTCACTCTGAGCTATGCAAGGAGCCCCTGTCTCATTTAAAGACAACTCTGTTACATTTCAAACACTGTGTGCCACATTAAAATCAAATGAGGTAGAGACCACAGTGTAGTTAGCTACCTCTCATTTCCATCAAGTACATTCGAAAACTTTAGCCTGAAAACTTCAGTTTGACTACTTTTTCCATCAGTATGTTGTTCAAACGGAATCTGATTGGGGCACATTTAAAAAATATTGTGAAGCCAAACAAAAAAAAAACAACCTTATCTGAGCAATAAATCAGAATTGAGCAACTAATGGCATTTGCAGGAATCCACCAGGCCTGAATGAAAACAACAAATCACAGCCAAGATTGTTGTTTTCGTTCAGGCCTGGTGGATTCCTGCAAATGCCATTATCAGCGCCAGAGCGATTCAGAGGAACCTGTTTTTTTCACAGATTATCCGTCTCTTGTACAACCATCAGGATAAGGTAAAGAAAATATGACAAAAAGTAATTTTTATAAAAGTTACCTACTGCAGCTTTAAAAATAATACATTTCATGATGTGTTGTTGTTGAATGGTTCTGCTGTCAAACTCTGTTCGCTCCATACCTAAAGTTTCATCCTTCTGTTAACTAATTGATTACATCAAGTTAAATAAATGTTAATCCACTGCCTGCTTAGACAATAGAAACATATGATCCAGAAACAAGCCACCCCCAAAGCTACAACCTCTCTCTCTGGCTGCTGTTTGGTAACAGTCTGACTATACAAACTGACTTGGTCTCAGTGTGTAGGGAACCGGAGGGTCGCCGGTTCAAGTCCCACAGACCACAATATGGAAAAAAACTCACCACAAATCAAGAAATATCATCAAGAACATGTTTTCCATTTTCTGACTAGATTTCAGCTTGATCTGATCATCCTACTAGGAGTAGAACATGGAAGTATAAAAAAATGACATTTCCTTTCAACACTAGGTGGCGCTCTCACTTTTACTGAATATTATCACCTAGACATGTTCAGGGCGGGACTCTTATCAGACATGTGAAGTTTGGAGCCGATTGGACAACGTACACTCAAGTTATAGCAAATTAGTGTTTTGTGGCGGTACATCAAAATTTCCCGCCACGCTACAGACACGCCCCCTCACTGCAGTCATCACATATAATCAACAATGTGTTTTGCATTTTATAAGTAAATTTCAGCTGGGTCTGATCATCCTGCTAGGAGTAGAACATGAAAGTATAAAATGTGATACTTCCTGTTGCCACTAGGTGGCGCTCTGACTATTACCAAATATTATCACATAGACATGTTATGGGCGGGACTCTTATCGAACATGTGAAGTTTCGTTGCAGTCGGATCATGTACGCAGATGTTATGACGATTCCTCTTTCATGGCGAAGGTTTGAAATTGGATGCCACGGGACGCCACGCCACAGGCACAATGTTGGACGAAAAAAACTGACTGCACTGACCAATTTTGAAGAAGATCCAATAGAACCTGTAGGAGGAGTTAGTTAAAACAGAAGCCCTGAAATGCCAAAAATGTCATCACAGTGTGACATTCGTTCAAAATGGCCAAATTTGACGGCACGCCACGGACACGCCCTTCAACGTACAGTGAAAAAATTAACAGCGTTCATTCAGCACCATTTTGTGACTGTACTGACCAATTTTGAAGCAGATCCCAGAAATTCCCTAGGACGAGTTCGTTCAAATGCAAGGCGAAAATTCACCGAAAATGACCACGGACTTAAAAATGGCCAACTTTGACGGCACGCCATGGACACGCCCTTCAACATACAGTTACAAATTGAACAGCGTTCATTCAGCACCATGTTTTGATTGTACTGACCAATTTTGAAGCAGATCCGATAAATTCCCTAGGAGGAGTTCATTCAAATACAAGCCCAAAATGTCAAAATGACCACAAAATGATGAAAATTAAAAATTGAAATTGCAGACTTCCTGTGGGTTTTGGGGCATGGGTCCACGAGGCTTTTCTGCTTCTTTTATCATGATACACATGCGTAGCAATTTTCATACATGTGGGCCTTACATGTCTTGGGGGCTGATTCTGGGGGGCGTGGCTTAGACGTTTGGCGGCGCCCGTGCAAAGGGACAATGTCATATCGGTATTTTTGCTACGTTTGAATTTTGTGTAAATTTTCATGCCATTTTGAGCATGTTGCGGGGGCCAAATATGCGGTTGAACTTCCAAAGGTATAATAATAATAATTCCTAGAGGAACAATAGGGTCTTGCACTTTCAGTGCTCGATCCCTAATTATATATACACAGGTAGAGTTATGTTAATGCAGAGAGGTATGCACATAGAGCTGTGAGCATATGGAATTAAGGCTGTATCACTATCACTCACTACTCCCTACATAGTCCACTATGTTGGACTCCCTATGTAGTGACTAGGGAGTAGGGAATGAGTGAGTGATTTCAGACACATCCTAAGTGAATTTATATAAAAAGAATGTCAAAATTAAAATGCTTAGCAATTGAATAATAATATCATTTGAAAAACGGAAATGATTTACTCCATGTTGATAATACAATGTTTGTTATATCATTTTAGATTCACTATTAAAATATTTGGGACCACCTGCAGCTGAATCATCAGACCAGGAACAGCCATGCACCTCAGCTGCTCCAGCCACAATCAGTATCAACCATGAGGTTGGTGGTCAGATTTCCTACAAGGAGCTTATTGATGAGTTTGCAGCAAGGAAGGCCAGAAAGATTGCATTGCATTGTGAAAGTGTTATATTATATTATTCTATTCACTTGGGGCGAGTTTGAACCTTATTTGTTTATTTTGTATATTATATTTTGATTAATAGGTTATATGAATCACATTTTACAGTATCTAATTTTGGACACAATGTTTTATTAGTTTAAGTTTTAATTCTTTAGTGTGCACTAGATGTTGCACTACTATCAAAAATATGTTTAAAAGTGTATTTTTTGTATATTTATTATTGAACAGGTTTATTCTTTTGCACACATTGTTATATTGTTTGTATTATCATTGTTTAAATAAATGTCAATTCTTTGGACATGAGTTATTTTCTCGTGGGGATGGGGCGCTATCAGTAAAGCTCGCCTAGGGCACCAAATGGTCTAGGACCGCCCCTGTGAAGACATCATGCCAGACTCCAGTTCAAAAGTAGGTCTGAGCTAGGTCTCTCTAACCCTGAATTAGCTATCGCAAATTCACCCATGTTGACCGAAAATTGGGCGAACTAAAGCTAACGCTAGCTAATAACAAAAGTTGTTATTTTATTTGAATGAACAAACATGCACGGTGTGTGTGTGTGTGTGCCAAATGACAAAGCCACTCATAACGTTTACAAATCCGCTTGCTGTCAAGCATTACCTCGTGCCATATTTGCTGTCTCACGAGGCCATTTAAAAGTGACCAAATAATGTATGGGGTCTGGCATGACGTTCACACACGACAGAGAACGACGCGCATGGCCGCTAACAGCTCGCTTAGCAGTTATTAAATCCATATGAATTCATATTACCTATAACTGTACCGGAACAGCAGCCACAGCTTCCATTACCGTAAAACCCTGTCATCGAACCACTGCCGTCACCGGGAGTTTCATCACCGGGGAAAAGCTTCTACAACGCTGCGTTTAAATGTCACATGCTGCCAATGAAGCCTTTTCTAAAGCACTAATCAGACAACATAACCAACTGGTGATGGAGTTAATAGCGATGTGGCTAAATGATAATTATAAAAAACAACCTGACGTCTCACCTGCAGTACTGAATATGTTGTGCTTCCATTCCGCTGCCTCGCTAGGTGTTAGGAAGCCTCGGAGGACAGGGATCTCTACGTCCAGAGGCATCGGTGAACTGGTCTTTGTTGGAGGGAAGTAGGAGCTGCTGCCTTCAGTCAGGACGGTCCCGGAACACAGCTTTCACGGTTGATCGCTTTATTAATGTGCGTTTCTCAATCGGAGATGAAACGTTTTTTTCACCCATGTGGTACAAGTGGCCTCAGTGAGCAGCCATGACAGATGCGCGTTGCATTGTGGGAAAACTAATCAAAACTAGCGCAGGGATGCTGGGGCAGTTTCACGTGGCCGGTAGGTCTGAACGCGATGTTGCATTGAACAATATGTTAATGCTGTTAATGCTGCCTGTGTTTAACAGCATATCATCGCATTGAGCTCTTCATTGACTTTCTTTGTGAAAAACACAGAGCCATGCAGTTGCAAGTGTTTCATTATCTTATATTAATGATAAATATTACTTTCCCCAGTAACTAGCAGTGTAACTAATTAATGATACATTTCATTAATAAAATTACTGTAATAATATTAGTTTCCCCAGTAACTAGTGTAACTAATTTCTAATACATTTCATAAACCAATCCAATCACATCTTTGGATTATTTTTTGTAATTGTGGAGGAAACTAGTTTGGAAGATGGAAACGCTTACATTCAGCAGCTGGAAATATTCCATTACCTTGATTTTAACAGCAAAACTGGATTTTAATCGTCCTAGTAGTGTAACTCATTGTTGTCATGGAGTAATGAGTAAAGTAATAATGTTGCTTTTAAAAAGAGCAATGAGTTTAAATTATATTTTTGGATTGGTTAATGACTAACACTATATTATGCCAAGGCCCCCCACATAGCATTTGTTAATGACCAGGGCCCCCATTTTGCAGTGTGTCTTGTATGGCAATTTTTAAGAACCTATACAACCTTTGACCTGGTCATTGTAAAACCATACGCAACTGTTAAAGAGGCTATTATATGCATACAACCTTTAGCCCTGTTTCTAACTACACTCTATGTCCCAGTACACAGTGGGATGTTGAGACTTCACTAAGAAGCCAAGGACATGATCATCTCACCACACTGTCTGTCTGTTGACTGTCCCACAACTCAGGAATGTGTAACTGTGTGCTCCAACAGGGATAAAACTATACTGCTTCTGCCAATCGAGGCTCTTTCGGACTTTCACATACGAGAGTGTGTGACGGTTGCGTTGAGACCATTCATGGATGACTTGAATAAAACCTTACAGAAAGACAAGATCATACTTTGTATGCTTTATTAAACAAATTACCACCACAGTCTTTAAAACCCCATTGACAATATTGCAGCACATGTAAAGAAGAGAAAAAGAAAAGAAATTATATATTTGCTTACTTTCATAAGTATCAATAATTATTACATTTGTATTTCAAATCTTTAATCATAACATTATATTCAATATTACTGCTTACCATTTTTCCATTCTAGCATTTGTTTTGTCAGTTAACAACACTGGATATGCGTGAGTGTGTGTGCGTGGGAGTAAGATTTGCCCGCCAGGGCTTTTCCTTTTCGAAAACATGTCCATTTTTTGTCAGCATTAGTTAGATGACTGGCAAGTGATTAGAAAGGTGGCCCTGGCAAATAAGATTCCAATATGATATGTATTTTTATTTTGTTTAAAATATTTATTTTGAGCATTTTACCTGATCTTTCCACCCCCTGACACCCCTTTGCGACCCTCACTTTGAAAAACACTGTTAAGGAAAAGCTGTACAGAACTTCCTTCTGTTAGAGGTGGAAACACAAAGTTTGATGTGAAAACTGACAATACCAATGACAAAACATGACAATTCACATATTTATCATTCTTTAATTGGTAGTAGTCAAAGTTGTTTCTGCCTCTTAAAAGGAAGTTTTTCACTGCCACCATCATGGTGGGAACTGTTGGGTCTCTGTAAATAATAATTAGGGTTAGGGTTAGGCCAGATGAGCTGAGCATCCCTGACAACCTGACTGCCAACCAGACTTCTGCAGGAGGGAGGTAGGCATGTCATCGGGTCATTTCTTTTTCAAGTTATAATCCTTGAGATTTTGATTAAATCAAACACTATTTTGTATGATTTATGGTCGCCGTTTTTCAGTGTTATGAGGTACATTTCTGGCTCTTATCAGTCTGTGGGCATTAGAATCAGAATCAGGTTTATTGCCAAGTAAGTTTTAACATGACAACGAGAAATTTGCAATCACAATCAAGTGTAGAAAAATATAAATAAAGATAAGATAAAAAATCTATAAACAAAGTGAGAGAATATGTACAAGATGGCCAGATACTTAAATAAAGTAGTTACATAATTAGCAGTGTGACATATAATTGCATTTGCAATTTGCAAGATAAACAAACACAAAGCTAACAGAAGTGCATTAATGTAATGCATATATACAGGGTGGGTTTAAGAGTCAGTGTCAGTGGGCGTCCCGGGCCTTATTGATGAGACCAGCTGCAGACAGGAAGAAACTGTTCTTGTGGTGGGAGGTTTTGGTCCTGATGGACTGCAGCCTCCTACCAGAGTGAGGAGTTTCAACGAGTCTGTGTCCAGGGTTGGAGGGATCAGCCACAATCTTACCTGCACACCTCAGGGTCCTGGAGGGATGGCAGATTGCAGCCAATAACCTTCTTGGGGATGATACGCTGCAGTCTGGCCTTGTCCCTAGCAGTGGCAGCAGTGTATCAAATGGTGATGGAGGAAGTGAGGATGGACTCTATGATGTCAGTGTAGAAGTGCACCATCATTATCTTGAACTTCCTCAGCTGCTGCAGGAAGTACATCCTCTGATGGGCTTTTTTGGATGTACAACTCCCACTTGAGGTCCTGGGTGATGATGGTATCCAGGAAGTGGAAGGACTTCATAGAGTCAACTGGGAAGTCACGCAGGATGATGGCGGTGGGGCTGGGTTCTTCCTTAATGTCAACCACTTTGTCCCAAAGCAAGATATCTCACCCTGCTGCCATCGGCATAAAGAGAACTACAAACCACAATTTCATTATATAACCCTGCGTTGTAAAATTAGATTTAAATTACTTTTTATGTGTTACAACACAGAGGGAAAATAGGAATTGTGAATATTCTGTGAAAGATCTTCATTGTCATATTGATTTCCAGAGAAGTATAAGGTTTATTGTTCTTGATCTGTATACAAAGGAAGGACAGCACCTGAAATCAGGGATTGAAGGAGAGGAGTCACTGTCATCTAAGTAATACCTTTTTGTACCCATGTTTGGTGTGTTATTTTCCTGAAATTTCATATTTATTGTGGTTAAAACAAGAACGTCAGTAAATCACCATGCATTTATTTGTAAATGAATATGTGTGATTCTAACAGTATGTGTTGTCCAGACCTTCATACTGTAAAGCTTCTCTTTCTATTAATTTGATCCCTTCAGCCATTTGAAAGTAGCAGTAGACATATGTTAATAAACATCTGCAGCCTCTGATTTAAAAAGTGCATGAGAGCACACTGCCATTACACACAGCAATTCATGTTCATCTTGTTTAAATTACTTAGAAATGACATCAGGCTGCTACACAATGACACACTCCACACACATAATATAAATGTCACATAAATGACTTTTACACTTCCTATGAAGACCAAATCTATAGTGCATTATGAGGGCATTCATAGTGAATTATAATGCATTCATAATGCTTTATGATTACACTTGCACAGATGTTGCTTCTTGCTTTTATTTGTATTGTCATTGTTCTTATTTAATATAACAGCCACCATTTGTCTTTAGCTGTAGATTTGTTGTGTCATTCCTCTTGTCACTCTGTGATTAGCTCAGCTGTTCAGTTATGAGACTAGTGATGTGACTGCTTGAGATAACTAATCACCATACCCTCCAATCTATATGCTGTTGCATATACATGAACCAAAATAGCAGTCTGTGCACCCAAGGCCTAAAGCTTTCCTCTGGTCATTGTGGTTACACCATTGTTTGAGTTCATCTTGTGATATAGTGTAATATATAAGTATAGTTCAACTTTATACATTACATTTTTAAAAGCCCAGCAGCTCTACATTTGTGGTAACTTACTACTGAACTGTAACTGTATTGCATTTGATGTATTTTATTTAATTTTTATCTATTTTAATTGAGCTTATTCTGGTTTTTATTGTTCATTGTTTCTCTAATGTCTTGTTTGCCTAAAGCAATTTTGAATTGCATCTGCATTTGCATGGCCTTGCCTTGCCTTGCCTTGCCTTACAGTCTTAGTGATGCTTAAATCATCGCCCTGGCACGCTTAATCACAAAGTCGTTTAGATCACATTTTTAAGCTTCTTCTTTTTGATCTGTTCACATGCAAAGTAAATATAGAAATAGAGTTGTTACATGCACATTTGTGAAGCGACACACATGCAAATGGTACTCCCTCAGAGGAAGAAACTCTTTTCTGGGCGACCCAGTGGCTCACCTGGTAAAGCATGTACCGTGTTAAGGCTGCATGTTATCCCCGCTCTCTCCAGCTGTCACATCAAATAAAGTAGAAATGCCAACAAAAAAAAAATCTATACATCTATTTACAAGTGATACCTACATGCAGGTTTTCCTGTGTCATTTCTGCTTCCAAGGATGAAGGAGCTGCTGGCTGCTTCAGCTGAGCCACAGGATGATTCAGATTAAACATATTTCAGCAACAGTGATGGTAATCTCAGATGTGTTCCTCCGATGAGCATGTTTGGTCCAAAATGGAATATCCCAATGTTGGATGGATTATACAGAAGCGTAATGCATTCACGGAAAAAAAACTTTCTCTGCTTTTCTGAATTAACAATTTATTATCTCATAAATCTGAGATAATTTTTCATTTTAAAACAATTCTGCTATAAGGACAGTGCACATTAATGAACAATTCTGTGAATATGCCAGCTCAGCCATCCTGGTAATTAATTTTCAAGCAAAGACACATAAAATACATTAAACAGGAACAGCAAGACTGTGCATATAGCAAAGAACACTTCATAAAAACACATTTTTAATGTTGTTTCAGTAAGTTATGGAGTATTGTCACACACTTGATTGTTGATTTTAAACGTGTTAAACGTATTTTAAATGAGTGATATGTTTGTGTAGTCTCCAATAAGTGTTGGCAAACTGTTCCATTTGTTCCAACTGTCTGTCTTATCTTACCGGAGGCATGTGCCCAACCAGTCAGACAGTATGACAAATGTGAAATGATCATGGCATTAAAACATAGTGTTGCTGT